CTCACTTGGTAGCCCAGGCTGGCCTCGAACTCACAGAGATCCGCCTGACTCTGCCTCCTGAGTGCTGGGATTAAAGGCGTGCGCCACCAACGTCCGGCCTGGATTGGATTTTTATATATTATATATAAATTATATATATTGAGATTGTAATTGTTAGAAAATGCTATATGTGTATTTCTAATCTTGTTCAGGATATTGTACTCAGTTCATTTAACAATGTAATGCAATTTGCTAATGTTATTATTACCACCTATTAGGATATAAAGTAATGAAAGTTAGTAGTTAAACATTATAATTAAACTTATAGTCATATTAGGTATGTTTTCAAGGCTAAACAGAGATATATTTTAGATAGACAGGTCATCTTTAAACCCTTCAGAGAGCTAGAGAATATGGCATTTAAAATGTTTTAATAACTTAGAATTTTATTCTTTTTTTCATGACTATGAGACGTGGCAGCAGCTGGCAGTATCTCCTCTGTTCTGCCTTTTTCCTTCCTACTCTCTAGTTAGAATGTCCCACCTAACCCTATTCTGCCTCACCATTGGCCAAACAGCTTTATTTATCAACTAATCAGAGCAATGTATTTTCACAGCTTACAAAAAGACACTCCCATCAAAATCCTGTCTTGAAAAAAAAAATGCAACATAAGGTTACCAATGGTTAAAAACACCCTTAAATGTACAGTTAAATGGCGTTAATTATATTGTTTTATAATTATTAATATCATCCATTCCAGAAATTTCATCTTCTCAAAAGAAACTGTATTCCTATTAAATAGTAACTGGCCACCATATACCTAATAATTCATGGCAAAAAGCATACTACTTTGTACCTTTCTAGCTACTTGATGTAAATGGAAAACATACAGTATTTATCATTTTGTTTCTGACCTATTCCATTCAACATAATATCTTGAAGGTTTATCTATGTTATAGCATATGTCAGAATTTCCCTCCTATTTTAAGGCAAGTACATTTACCCTCTGAACCAACTCTCCAGTCTTTATCATTTTCTTTTTAACATCTATTAACCTCCTTTGGTATATATCCTACCTGGCCCTTTGAATTCTAGGCAATTTAATAGCCTGTGGAAGAGGCACAATCCTTTGCAAGGCACCTAGAATATGAAGACAACTGAGGCATAGTGCCTGAGTATGAGGATTAATTAATTTGTGGTGTAATCAAGGGGGTAATGACCTGTAAATAACAAGGGTAATACATTACTGCAAGGGCTTTTGCATGTGCATTGGGCCTAGTGAGGACAGAAAGGAAGGAGTGAACAATCTTAGGATGAGGCCAAGGAGCATATAAGGGAGTAAAGTCACCTATGATGCAGTCATGATGGAGGTCTTATTTGAATGGCAGGGAGACACCTACTCCCTAATATATCCATGAATGTACTATAATCAGTGAGAACGAGTGAGGGGCACTTGGAGAACTGTAAGCAGGTGGTTAGGGTTCATATTCAGGGAATGAGTGAAGAGGAGGAAGCTGAGAGGTAAGACTAGAGTGTTGAGCTAGGGACACATTGAGTGACACACTGAGTTCATACTGGGCAGTAATAACATTAGACATGTTTCTTGGAATGCTCCATTGGTTACAGGGGGATGACAGGAAGCAAGGCGACAGACTTCAAAAAAGCTACTTAGGAGACTTTCTGAAAGGGATGAATATACCAAAATTAAGGGAGAAGCGGTGGTGATATAAAGAGAATGATAGATATGAAGATTGGCTCAAAGTTTTGTCACTGGCTGAGATCATTAAAAGATTAAGCATACAGAAAAGATCAATAATCTCAGGACTGAGCCATAGAGCACCACAATGAGTTTGGAGAGATGGTGGGCCCAAACTAGAAAATAATGCAAATGATTGTAGAACCACAGCCTAGTGAAAAAATGCACATCTGAAAGAAGGAAATAACAACACAAATGCTCAGGCTAAGTAAGGGAAGAGTTTGGCAAAATGGCTATGATAAGACCAGCTGTGATAGATGAGTGTGAGAAGGAAGTCCAGTTGAAGTGGGGTCAAAGCAGACAAGAAAGAGAAAAGGCAGTGTTAAATACATATGCATAAACTAGTTCTGATGAGTGTTCTAATAAAGGAAGGCAGATAACTGCAATGATAGCTGGAGGATATCATGAAGTCAAAAGGGTTGTACTTTAGGGTATAACAGCATATTTATACAGCAATGGGAACAGAGGTAGGATAAAAATAAGTCAGCTAGAAAGTTCTACAATAATGTGCAAGAAACAGATGATAAAAGCAGGCAATAGCAGGCACTAGTTCGATGAACTCAGAGGCTCATTCATGGAAACTACAAGTATGTTGAGAACAGAAATTCAGCAAGTACTGGTTGCAGACCTGAACCCCTATTCAAATAATGGCTCAGCTGTGTGACCAACAGCCCCAGAGACTTTGCAGAATAGAATTCACTGCCAGTTTCAGTCACACACAAATGGCTGCTCCAAAATTCCCACCAAATGACCCAGCAATTCACTCAGGTATATACTCTGCAAACTGAAAGTATGAGTTTCCAGGCTGAATGACATGCCCAAAGCCCCAGTACTTTATAATGTGACTGTATTTGGAGGCAGGACCTTTAAAGCAGTCACTAAAGTTCTGGCCGAATATGACTGCTGTCTTTAAAGATACCAAGGAAATGTTCACCAAGGAAAGGCCATGTGGGAAGAGACAAGAAAAGAATGACATGGCCATCTACAAACCAGGAAGAGAGTCTTAAGGAGAGACCAACCCTACTGGAATTTGATTTTGGACTTCTAACCTCCATAACAGTGAGAAAATATACATTTGTGGTTTGTGTTACCCAGTCTGTGGTACTTTGTTATGGAAAAACTCATATATCCACACAGAATTAACTAATTGTAGGTACCTCATTGGACTTAATAGAAGCAGATTAGGAGTCTGGGGGCTGAAAGGAAAGGGAATGGCTTCCATATGGGATGACAAATAGGTCTGGGGACTAGAAAAAGATAATGGTTGCAAAGCATTGTGAATGTAGTCTAGAACACTGTATTGAACACTTTAAAGTGGTTAATTCTGTGTTAAGTGGATTTGACTTCATTTTAAAAGAAAGATGTAACTATACAAAATAATCTCCATCAGGAATATACAATATGGAGGTCCTTGGTATTTTGTTTATGGAAATTTAGGTCTGGTGCAAAGGAAAAAGGCTGTTTATATGTGTAAATATGTTACCAAATGCTAGGTACATGTATGTGAGATAGCAAAACAGTTAAACATAAACCAGATCAACATACCAGTGCAAATCTGTGCCCAAAGCTTATCCACTCCTTTTCTATGAGAGCCTCAAATCCTTTAATGGTCCGGTAGTAACTGTCCAACATCAGCATGGCCAGAGATGTTAGCTGGGATGTTCGGTCCCACCCATCACTGCAGTGGATCACCACAGATGTTTTTCCAGATTCTATTTTATCAGCAATTCTTACTGCCCCAGCAAGCAGCACCTTCAGAAAAGAAGGTAAAATAGACAAGGCTTCATTAAGTGTTAACCTCTGTATAAAATCATTCTGTGATAAAGTTTGGATGTTCCAGCCTATAAACAATATAAGAATGCCATCTAGGGCTGAGGCTTTACTTCAGTGAGTCCCTAGGCTCCAGCAGTAGTACCCCAAACAAAACAAAACACAAAACAAATAAACAACAACCAAAACCTACAAAATTAACTAAGAATCACTAGGAAGTGTTAGCATCATATTTTTTTTAAACTATGTAAAACAATCAAAGTAAATGGTGTCCTTTATTGAAGGGTCATAGGGTTCTGTTAAAAACTTGACTTACTAGGTATGGCGCATACTTGTAATCCCAGCATTTGGGAGGCAAATTCAGACTAGTCTCAGTTATGTAGTGAGTTTAAAACCATCCCAGGCTACACAGAAAGACTCTGCTATTATAAAAATAAACTTTGGGCTGGAAAGATGGCACAGCAGTTAAGAGTACATACTGGCTGGGCAGTGGTGGCTCTCGCCTTCAATCCCAGCACTCAGGAGGCAGAGGCAGGTGGATCTCTGTGAGTTCGAGGCCAGCCTGGTCTACAGAGTGAGATCCAGGACAGGCACCAAAACTACATAGAGAAACCCTGTCTCAAAAAAACAAAATAATAAAAAAACTATATCCTACAGTTAGAACACCACCCAACTTCTTCGCCGGGCAGTCGTGGCACATGCCTTTAATCCCAGCACTTGGGAGACAGAAGCAGGCAGATCTTTGTGAGTTCGAGGCCAGCCTGGTCTACAGAGTGAGATCCAGGAAAGGCGCAAAGCTACACAGAGAAACCCTGTCTCGAAAAACCAAAAAAAAAAAAAAAAAAAAAAAGAGTGCATACTGGTGCATACTGTTCTTGCAGTGTTTGTTTGGTTCCTGGAACTTAAGTCAGGCAGCTCACAAACATCTGCATCTGTAAATCCACCTTCAGGGAATCCAATATAGTCTTCTGGCCTCTGCAGGCACAGATGCTCACATGTACACATACCAACCCCCATATATATAATTAATTAAAAAGAAGACCAAATCTTTTTTTTTTTTTTTGGTTTTTCGAGACAGGGTTTCTCTGTGTAGCTTTGTGCCTTTCCTGGAACTCGCTTTGGAGACCAGGCTGGCCTCGAATTTACAAAGATCTGCCTGCCTCTGCCTCCCGAGTGCTGGGATTAAAGGCGTGTGCCACCACCACCTGGCTGGACCAAATGTTAAAATAAAAAAAAAAGGAAGGTGGTAGAGTCAGGAGGATCAGAAGATCAAGAGAACTTCAGCTAAACAGTAAATCTGGAGGCTAGATTGGGCTACCAGAGACTCTGTCTCAAAGTTAATTATTTTTAATTGATAATTAAAACACTGTTTATTTTTGTCATAAAATCCCTCCACAAAGACCATAGTCCAACTGTTTCCAAGAGGAATGCTCAAAAGCTCTCATATATAGCCAAGATGCATTAATCTGTGGTATGGAAAAACTACTTTGAAATAGAAATATTTATGACAGATGTTAGATGTCTAAATTGGAAAGTAGATAAAAGATTGAACTAATTTACCCTTATATATTCCAGCCAATGTGTCCCATCCACATTGGATAGCCACCGTGAGTCATCAATGGAAGGGTACACAATCTCCTTTAATTTACGCAGTGACTCCCTCATCACATGAATATTGTGGATCTCCAAAAACACAAGTTCTGCATTAGGGTAAGCACTTTCACTTTCATATCCTCCACCCTTTGCCTATAAAAAAGCAAAAGATATGCATCACTTCTTCTGAAATTAACTTTTCTACTGCTTCTACTGTAACCAGACATAGACCACTAAAGAAGCAATAAACTCCTACTCCTATAACCTTGTATGGTTGCCCTACAACTGTCAGAACACAACAGGGTACCATGGACTGGCAGCACAAAACAGAAATGCGTCTTCTCAATGCAGTGCACCATCACCACCACCAAATCTAAGTTCTCAAGGCCAGAAGGCTGAAATACAGGTGCCACAGGGTCAGCCTCCCTTGGAAGCCTCCAGAAGAATGTGATACTTACTTTTCTCATTGCTGTAACAAAGTATCTGGCAAAAGTACTTAAGGAAGGAAAGTGGCTCACAGTCTGAGAGGACATAGTCCATTACAGCAGAGAAAAAATAGTGATAGATGTGAGAGGTAGCTGGTCACATTGATGGTCACTTTCTCCATTTTATTCAGCCCGGGACCCCAGCCTAAGGGTTGGGGTTGTCCACATTCAGGGTGATTCTTCCCTTCTTAGTTGACCCTTCCTGGTATCACTCTCAAAGTCATACCCAGTGTGTCTATACAATTCTAAATCCCAGCGATTGAAGATCAAGACCAACAACCACAGAGCATACTTACTATTCATTGGCTCTCCTGTTTCCTAGTAACCCTAGGCATTCTAGGTTTATACACTCATTGCCTTAATCTCTACTTCCATATTTGCATTTGATCTTCTCCCCTTTGTCTCTGCTTCTGTTGTCCTCATTAAAAAAATACCTGTTGGGCTTGCAAGATGGCTTATCAGAGAAGGCACTTGTCACCAAGCCTGGCAACCTTAGTTTTATTGATACCTAGGACCCATATGGTAAAAAGAAAGAACCAAATCCTGCAAAGTTGTCTTTTGGCCTGTACATATGAGCATGCACACAAATAAATATAATAAAAAAGCAAGTCTGTCATGCTGAATTAAGGCCCATCCTAATCTAATCTGTCTTTGGTTTAACTTGATTACATTTATAAGGAATCATTCAAAATATACTTTCATAAGTACTAGGAGTCAGGACTTCAATGCATCCTTTTTATTGAGGATACAATTTAAGCCTTAATAATCCTCCTTTACCCATTATGGTTTTTAAGTCAGTACCAACTGGCTCTTACTGAAGGTTCCTTCTGCTACCAAGAAAATGTCATACTACCATAAAATTTCTGCATAATAAAACAGTTTGGAGTTCTGAAACCACAAAATTTATCTTAACAATTTAATAAGAGAAAATAAATGTAACAAAAAAGATAAGGATTACCTGTTAATGAGCTTATATAAAAACATGGTTTGTAGCTAGCTTACATTTTATAGAGGTCAGTATTCAAAACACATTTAGATGAGAGTGCAGAGAAACTGGTGGGAATGTAAAACCTTCAACTGCTGTGGAAGACAATTTGATAGTTCATCGAAAGTTACACAAAGAATTCCCATATCGTCCAGTCACTATGAACATTTGTATGCAAGTTTTATTTAAATACCTGTTCTGAGTTCTTTGGCTTATATACCCATGAATATAAGAGTGGTATCACAATATCCAATATTTATAAGCAATTTAAATGTCCATAAACAGATAGGTAGGCAAATAGATTATAGTCTCTCTATATAATGGAATATTATTCATCCATAAAAATGAATGGAGTACAGATGCTACAAAATGGATTAATGTTTAAAATGAGTGAAAGAAGACAGACACAAAGGAGTACTTAAATGTATGAATTCATTTTAATGAAGTGTCCAGTTCAGGAGAATCTCTAAAGATAAAATCATATTAATTGATACCAGAGGCTGGGAAAAGGGAAAGGGGACTGGCAGCAAATGGGTACAGAGAGTTTCTATTTGGGGTGATGGATTCAGACAGTAGTGCTATTTTTATAGTACTGTGAATATATTGGAAGTCATTGAAGTGTAAACTAAGGAGTTTTGTGTTACTTGAATTTTATCTTGATAAAAAGGTAAACATATATGTAATGTAAACACAGGCTTTTAATTTAGTCTGCAACCAACTATCCAGTGTATACAAATGTCCCGCCCTAGCTTAGTACTGGGACAATAGTGAGTAAGTGGAGACTCTGGTCTTTTAGGCTTTCCAAGTATGGCAGGGTGTGGGAGCCAAGCTCCCACTTTTCCTGGAGGTACTCTTGAGGAGAGAAGGATTAGAAACATCAGATAGAAGGGTAGAGGGGAGAGAATCAGAAACACAGGATAACCTCAGGAGGGCCTGGATCATTATCCACTTGCCCCTCCTGTCTCTTCTAAAAGGCTATTTATAGGAATGCCAAGGGGTGGAACAAAAGAGCTCCCCCTAGCACAGTCAAGTGCAGACCCTTCCAATCACCTGGTAACCACACACGTGGTCAAGCAATTCTCTAATGCAGCCCTGGTGAGTAAAGCAAGCTCAGATATTAGTAGGAAACCTTTGTGGGCCTCCACAACTACCCCTTCTTGATATAATAAAAGGGCTCCCCAGGCCCCTCAGATAGACTGTGCCTGTCTTAGGTCATCTTTCTTGAATAATCTTCCTTACCTGTCATGAAGATACACTTTCCATCAAGCATACTCTTCGAGCATACTCTGGCTTAGGTTGGAAGCTATCAAGAAGAAAGTTGCCCATCTTTGACTACCAGCCTCTGGCAGGAGTGGGTACAGAGCTTAACTCAGCTCCGACTCAGGTGCCTACAAAGAGCTTGCAAATAGATAGTGATCTTCACAGCCACCACACCTCCCAGTAAAGGAGTAGAGGATAATAAAAATGGAATGTCCATATTGGAATGGGTCTAAGGTGACTACAGCAGTCTTAGCTGCACCAAGGCTTTTCTAAATCAAAACCCTCTCCTAACAGATGTTCAATAAAATTTTCAAGAGACTATTTTGATTCCTAGGAGAAGTCATTTCAAAACACTCCGAAGTATCCACTAAAGTAAACAAAGCCCCCTTGCTAATTATAAAAAACACTTTTAGCTGTTTAAGTAGTTGATATATACATGTGTTCCTTCCACATCAGTAGAATTTCTACACAAATTAACTCAGTTGTGGGAGGCCTACCCCTTTCTAAACAGGAACAGATGAGGAGTGGAAACTTTTAGGAAGAAGACAAAAAAGCTCCCCTAATTATGTCATCTTTGCTTAAGTTTTCCAGGGGCCATTGAGACCATAAAATTATATCTTGGGCTACCATAAAAAGTGTTCAGAGTAATAAAAACTTCAAGATGCTTCTAATGTGATTGATTTGGTTTATCCTTTATAAATCAATGTTATCTAATTTGTCTGGACTAGACAGATATTGATGGAGTAATAAAAACAATTCTAATATGAACTTACATTCAATATTTACACTTTTTACATACCTATATTCAAAAAGAAAACTATAGGACTATTTTACAAACTTTGGCACATATCTAAAAAAGATCTCTTAACATCACTATACATATTTACAACTAACATGAATATCACTTTATAATTTTTACAAACATATTCAAAAGGAAATTCTATAGACCTATTTTACAAACTTTAGCAAATATTTAGAAGAGATTTCTTAAAAGAACTATTTATATTATTTTCTAACAAGATAAAGAGAGTTTTCAAATCATGAGTAATTAATTACTGTACTGAGCTGTTATAAAGTTCTTAGAAAAAACTTCCTGTGCAGCCATTAGGCCTCTGGAGGAATGTCACTGGAGCTGACATTCCTCTGTTCTACACTCTTCACCAAAGTCAAATAGCCAGCAAGCTTCTGAGGGTACGATTTCCCCCTTCTTAATTTTTTGAAGATGCACCTTAAGATTGCTATGAGCTCTTTTAACGATGCCAATGTTTCTCTATGGACTACATTTCCCAAGCTGCCTTTCTCTATATTGTCACTACATTCCCCAGGTTGGCTTTCTGGGTCTGGGAGAAAACTCAGCTGCAGCCAATGGTGGCCATTACTCTCTCGTTTCATTCACATGGCCAAAATCAAGTTTCTGCTCTTTTATCATGGGAGGTTTTTGAGTCAATATTAAGCTTTTCACCTGGCACTGTCCCTGGAATGGGTTGTGCTTGTCCACATGCATTTAGACACATGCTTGTTGCCAGAAGTGAAAACTTCATGGTGCTTCACTAGGTCAGTGAAAAGGATTGAGAGCTTTTTCAGAGAGATTTTTTTCCCTGATCTTCTACTTGGCCCTGCTTGTCCCTTCCCCTAAGATGCAGAGTCCCTGATACCTCAGCCATGGCTAAAACCCTCTGTTTTCTGTTCTGGGGGTAGGGGCTTATGTCCCCTGCAACCAACGATCCAGTGTATACAAATGTCCTGCCCTAGCTTATACTGGGACAATAATGAGTAAGTGGAGGCTCTGGTCTTTTAGGCTCTCCAAGTCTGGTGGGGTGGGCAGAGGAAATCAGGATCAAGGGCAGCACAGGGCTGAGGGTCCTCTGTTCTAGGACAGACAGTTCAGGAGGTGGCAGGTACCTGGACAGCCAAAAGGAAAGAGGCACAAATCAGAGAGTACAGAAAATAACACCTAAGAACAATAAGGCACAGAGCTTGGTAGGACATGGCTTCCCAAAATGAAGGTAGGTTCTGCACAGAGCATTCCAGGACAACAGTAAGAATGATGAATGATGAAGTCAGAGAGCATGGAGGGAGTGGGTGGCATGAGTGAAGAGGGCTATCCAGTAGAGGGATGGGGTTATACTGGGAAGGGCCTAAGAGGGTGAGACACTCTGCAGGTTGATTAAACACAGAGATGCAATCATCTAATTGAAGGAAGTAGGGCCTACATGGACATGTGATTTGAGAGGAAGGACACAGTGGTGATTTGGAACAGTGGGAGTGTGTAGGGCAAGTGATACCTATGATTCTCTGCTAGGCTACCTGAGATATGGTAGCATCATTTATTGAGAGTTTATAGGAGAAGGAACATATTCTATGGGGAAGCTTGTTTGCTTTTGAGTACAGCAAGGGCCAAATGACTCTGTGACAAAACTCAGCTGGAGACATTTATAGGCCATGGGATACAACTGGAACTCAGAAGAAGTATGAACTGTGAACATAAATGTGGAATATTTATCATATGGATGGGTGACAAGGGAAGACAGAAACATGCTGTATTGTGTTCCAAGAAAATGTGTAATGTAAAGACAGAAGAATAGGCCAGAAGTATGAAGAAGATCAGTATTTAAGGAAAACAATGAAGAGTGGGGAGAGGGGGGAGAGAAGGAGAGCAGGAGGGAGAGAACATAGAAGAGAAGAGAGGAGATAATATAATAGGCTGAAAAGTGTCTCCCATTGAAGACACAATAAATCCCTGCCAACTGTGAATGCAACCTTATTTGAAAAACAAAACAGGTCTTTGAAAATGTGATTAAAGACCATAAACTGGAGGGATAATCCTGGATTACCTCAAGTGGACCCTGAAGGTCATTACAATATCCTTAGAAGAAAGAGGAAGAAGAGACAAAAAAGCACACACTGCTGTGGGATGGTCTGTATGTTAAATTGCTCTGATTGATCAATAAATAAAACATTGATTGGCCAGTGGCCAGGCAGGAAGTATAGGCGGGACTAACAGAGAGGAGAATTGAGGGAACAGGAAGGCAGAGGGAGTCACTGCCAGCCGCTGACATGACAAGCCGCATGTGAAGATGTCAGTAAGCCACAAGCCACATGGCAAGGTATAGATTTATGGAAATGGATTAATTTAAGCTATAAGAACAGTTAACAAGAAGCCTGCCATGGCCATATAGTTTGTATGCAATATAAGTCTCTGTGTTTACTTGGTTGGGTCTGAGCAGCTGTGGGACTGGCAGGTGACAGAGATTTGTCCTGACTGTGAGCAAGGCAGGAAAACTCTAGCTACACACACACAGTAGGAGGAAGCCAAATGAAGATGAGGTAGATTGCAGTGTGTAGCTACAAGCTCAGGAGTACTGCCTTGGCTATGAGACACTACAGGAGGTAAGAAATAGACTCTCTCTTGGACCCTTTAGAAGGACAACAACTTTATGAGATTTTGGACTTGTGATATTTTCCATGACAGCCTCATACCCATTATTCTCCCATCTTAGCAATCAGCTCCATAACTTAACCTCCAAGTCAGAATTCTGGGTGGTATCCTTGACCACAGAAGTGGCCAACTCAGTAGTAGAGATGTCAAACATGGGGATTTGGTCTAACCTCAGGAGGGTTCAGAGCTGGAAACACTGCCATGTGCAACTCAGCATAAAATCATTGTTTAAAGTCCTGACTCAGAGTAGATGACCTTGGCAGATTATTATAGAATAAAAAAGGAAACCCCAAACCAAGTTTAAGAAACTTTACCATTGGAAATTGGGAAAAGGAAGAGGAACCAATAAATTAGAGCAAGAAGACCAGGCTATATATTGAGAAGAACATGGAGGTTGGGGTGAGAGAGGTTTATGAAACCTTGAAAGTCAAGAGAATGGAGTGGTCCATCTAAGGTCATTAATGATGACAGCAAACTTGAATGCTTCCTCAGTGACAGCCACTATAGAGGTAGGAGGTTGACTTTTTGGCAGCTGTAGTTAATTAAGGATGGAATACACATTAGGGAAAGACAAGGAACAAGCTGACAAGTGAAAGTTGGACACACAAACACACAGGTCAGGTGATAATGGTGCTAGCCATCATCCTTCTTGCCAGTCTTATAAAAACCATGTCCTACTGCATTGTTGGACAGATATTCACACTGTATGGAATGTTCTGCCCAACTTTCTGACTGTATAAAGCCAGCTCAAGTGCCATCTACTCTGTAAAGCCCTAAGCCTAAGTCTATGTAAGTACTAGTTATTTCACCTTCCCCTCCCAAGCAAACAAAGTTTCTCCTCCTATTTATAGCACCTCAAACTGTCTGCCTTTGTTATTTCTGCCAGCACATTGTGCCTACTGGGTGCTCATTAGCTGTGTTAACCAAGTGTCACATTACAAGTATGAATGAGATGGTAATAGACTGGCAGTTTTCCAATAATTGAAATTTTACTTGAGGAGAGGTAAAGTCCTCTGACTACTGAAGGTATGTCTTCAATTACAGACTATTGGAAAACTGTTCATGGGGAAGAGAAATGACTCAAATCAAAGCCTTGCCCTATGTGGATAACAAGTACTAAGAGCTTGATCTTCAAGTTTTTATGCATATAAAGGACTCATCCCCTTTTAACTCATGGAGATCAAACAGGAGCCACAAGTAGATGTGTTTGTATCATGTCACATGTCACATATTTAGTAGTGCTTTATGTGACTTATGGAAATTTTATATATTTGTAGTTTCATATAGCTGAGTCTATTCTAAATATATATTTATATGTAAAATAATATATAAAATATATGAAAAGATATGAATTGGTTAAATAATCAGTAACTTATTAGAGGGATTTCCAAGGGGCATGTGGTTCTTTCACTAAAATACATACTCATTTATGCAGTTCTCTTTCTGAGGCTTTGATTGAGTTATCAGACAAAACGGTAGAGAAGCAATGAAAGCAACAAGATACCAGCCAATGTAGGATGCTGAACATAGTCCACAGAGTATTGAAGCGGGGGATAGCCACAGATTACATCAAAAGAATCAAAGTTCACATAATAAGGAATTCAATGGCCTGTTCCAAAACTATGAAGACATATAGAAAGTATGTAAAAAAAAAATCCATTTTTCTACAAGGCTACTGAACATGTACCTTGTTGGTATCAGCAACGCTGTTCTGTCGAGCATCAAAGATGATAAGTTTATGTGACTGTGCATTAGCATCCATTATTGTCTGCAGGTATTTTTCATCTTCTTTGCAGCGTTTATCATTGGGACCCACCAGTGGTTGGCTGCAACGTGTAATTGTTGCCTGACTTTCTGGGTGAATCCATGACAACACCTAATATTTTTAAAACAACAAATAAAAAATATCTGCTGATAGATATCATTCATAAAACAACATATGGTCTGATTAATTGGTAAGAAAAGTAGTATGTCTCCTAAAGAATTTCCTCACAGCTCTGAGTAGGTAAGCTAGTCATAGCACTGTAGTGGCCATGACAATGTGTTGGTTATACTAAAAGAAATTTGACTTGACACTCTCTAAAAAAAAATCCCTTTCTGCCTTTGAAATTCTATTATTTTAAGTAAAATAAAAGTGAGACCAAACTATTACTAAACTCTAATCCCATTTCTATTTGGTTAGCTAGTTTCCTATGTTTTTCTAATATAAAAAAACATCCTCTGTATCTCTACAATAACATAAATAGCCCACTGTGGTCTTATATTAAAAAAAAAACAAACAAACCTATAACTCTACCACCAGATCTCCCATTTTTCTTCAGTGGTCAAGTGACACGAAATTATTCTTATGTAAACTCAGAGCAAAAATCTCCACTTTCTTCTTGGCATGCAGCCACAGCAATGCACACAGCAGGAAGAAAGGATGTATTTTCTCCAGAGTGAATGGTGGGATCAATGAGGTAAACTGTAGTGTAACATCATGTTCATTCTTGGTATTCCTCTATTATTTTTGGCTATATGAGGAGGGCAAAATTTAAGGTACCTTTGCATTTAGAGATAGGACATATACAAGAGTGAGACAGCAAATGAGTGTTTTTCTTAAGAATCAAAGATACAGTCCGATTTATTAGCTAATTTTCTACTTTCCATTTTGTTATTAGATACAGTGCAGTGTCTGTTTCTATCTAAATAGCAATGCCTATTACTTACAGGGACTCTGCCTTTCGCTCGAAAGGCTGCCACTTTTGAAAGGTCATCATCTTTTACACTAGTTGGCACAACAATGATGGCAGGGTAGGTATCGCAGAACTCAAAATTACTGTTTATTTTGGATATTTTCCAACTCTCATTTGGCAATCCCTGTAGAGTGTTAGAGAAGGAAGAATGGAAAACACTCATCTCTATTTTACAAACAAACAAAGAAGGTATGAATCACATCTGTTCCTTATTTTAAATGAAAATTCATTTATAACTGGTTTATTGTTACTTAAATAATAATGCTTCACATAAAATATAATGGAAATTTGGATCCTAATTCATCAATTGTTTATGAGATCTGTAAAAAAAATCTAGAAGCAAATGGATTGATAATAGAGTGCTTGCCTAGTATGTACATAATTCTGGGAAGGAGAGCGGGGAAGGAAAAATGAAAGAAGGCAGGTAAGATGAAGACAGGAAGGTAGAAAAGACATGCATGAAAACAGCAGCAAGACAGGCAGGCAAGCAAGAAAAAAGAAAGGAGGAAGAGGGAGGAAGGAAGAAGGAAGGAAAGGTGGGTTCTCAAAAATCTGAGTTGCAAACCCTTGTCTACACATCCTACTAATCCCTCTGGAAAATGATAGCTAAAGAGCAATGGAGTCAAAGATATGGCACAGAAGAGGGCACCCAGAGAACTGAGAAGCAACATGCTAGAAAAGCTAGGCCTATGTTACAGTTTGTTGTACAGCTTCTACTCCCCTACTACATATCTAACCCAACTTTTTGTACAGAAAAAGACATTTAAGCTATCATATTCCATATGACAAGTGACATACTCTACCTGTCTCTTATATTCAGATACTGGATCATAAACTTTCCAGCCATTAACTGGAAACTTTTCTTTATAGTTGAATGCAAATAGCACCTGTACATAAAACCCATAAAATACATGTCAGCATTTGTGTTAGAACTCCTGTTTTAATCTGCAAATTTTAAAGTAGCAAATTAGAAGCTTTTCTTAATTATTACATAGAAAAGAAAGAATCCAAATATTTGAATTTAGTTGCAACACAAAGAAATAAAGGTGTAAAGGAATGTGTAAATATGGAATTATTGGATACACACAGATGAATTCAGTAAGGTTTACTTTGTTGTACTTGCCTGCCCATTAGAAAGAGGAAAAGCATGCTTGTTCAGGTTTTCAAATATTCCAAGTTTTCGTTGTTCTTCCTGCTTATATGCAAGTCTCAGGTTCCTCATATCCTAGTAAACAATGAACACCTGTTAGCCAGATACCCTGTCATAAATACATAAAAGATTCTTATTTATCCATCATTTTGTACCCTATAGTTCTCCAAGTAACAGAAGACAAGTTTACAAAAATACAAAGAGATTTGAAAAATTAAGGAAACCGGAATAAAGAGGATGTGCGTGTGTGTGTGTGTGGGGGGTGTCAACAGAATAAATAATTAAGAATAATGCTGAAATGTAGCTCTTCATAGTTCATGGCTTCTGACAAGGGATGAGGTGGGGAGGACTCAGTTTTCTTTAAGGGGAAGTTTGACCATGCTCCAATGAGTATATGATCAACACAAACTGGACTTCATGAGATTTTTTTGGTGGAGGAGGGACAAGGATTGGAGGGTGGACCTGGGAGGAATGGTAAGTGGGTATGATATGGGTGCATTGTACAAAATTCACAAATAATCAGTAAAAATACTATGTCAGGGATAAAAAAGAAATACAAAAATACAAAAAAGAAGAAGAAGAGTATTTACACACAAAAGATGTGCCATTACACTCTGTGTACTTACTGGCCAAAAATATGCCATGGAATTTATTGTTCAGGTTAATTTGCTGAGAGAACAAACTACATAATTTACTTCATCCATGAAAAACAAACTTTGCAGATTCTTCCCCCTATGTACTCACTGAAAAGTAGTCTGTTCCATGTGGAGACTATAGTTTTCAGCAATGTCCTTGTAGCAATATAATGCTGTTTCTAAAGATCACTTTCCTAAAATGCCGTTCCTTGTCCCAGTGCCCTCCTTGATGGCCAAATGCCCAACCACAAGTTAGCAGGACTAGTGAATACATCAAGCCTAGCTCTTAATGGTGTGATTTCTTCCCATGACAGTGTTTTAAGTGTCACCTCCCAACCTTTTAAATCTATGCTCCTGTCAACTAGACACACAAAAAAATCATTCTTGTTTACCATCAAAAGAAATTTGAAAATATAATGACAAGCAAAGAACAGCATCTTGGGAAGTAAAGTTATTGTGGTATTGTGTTATAACAGCAAGAGAATGGCAATAATCCAAATATCTATCAGTAGAGGCTGTAGCTGAATAATGTATAGAACAGCTAAAGATCTGCTGAAAAGAAGCTTCAGCTCTATATGCACCAGTCAAAAGAAATTCCAAGCTACACAGTCACAGGAAAAGAAAGGTGCAGAGCCATGTATACACTATCATTGTCCTCTTTTATTTTATTTTTAGACAAGGTCTCACTATACAACCTAGGCTGGCCTAGAGCTTGCTATGTAGACCAGGCCAGCCATGAACTCACAGAAATCTGTCTGCCTCTGCCTCCTGAGTGCTGGTACTAAAGGTATGTGCCACTATGTGGCTCATTGCTTCTTTCAAAGAAATGTCTCCATGCACAAGGTATCTATGCAGTTATATTAGGCATTGGTAACTGTCTGCAGAGAGTAGTAGAGTGGAAGAGAGACTTGACGTTTTACTATATATGGCTTTTGTACTTTTGAATTAGGAATCATCTTTTAAAAATAAAACACAGGCTAGAGACATGACCCAGTAGTTAAGAGTGCTGGCTGTTCTTCCAGATATACCCAAGTTTAATTCTTAGCACCCACATGACAGCTCACAACCTTCTGTAACTTCATTTGCAAAGGATCTGATCTGACACCCTCTTCTGGCCTCCAGGGGCACCAGGCATATATTCATAAAGTCAAAACACCTACACATATAAAAAATAATAAAATAAGCCATGTGTGGTGATACATGCCTTTAATCCAAAGCAATTAGGAGGCTGAGGCAGGCAGAACTCTATGAGTTTGAGGTCAGCCTCTGTCTACATAGTGAGCACCAGGCCTTCCAAGGCTACACAGTAAAAACTAACTGTGAAAACAAACAAAAACTAACAACAATAACAACAACAAAAAAAAGGAGATCCCATACCTTGTGAGGTTCTCAGGCATGCGTTGGGAGCCTGTTCTTTGTAATTCTAGGCTATGAAGCATTTAAATCAGCTGTCAGCAAATACCCATGCCAGCCAAAAAATACCTTAGTAAAACAGCCACAGGAAACGTGCCAAAGTAGCATCGTTTTCTGACATGCTTGCTTCTCAAGTCATATTGGCTGTGTACACACCCTGGTAACTAACTTGCTGTTTAGAAAAGCTAAGAGGGAAGAAAAAAATCATTCTAAGTTCTGCAAGAACAGATACAACGAGTGTGGCATGTAGCGTAGTGGTAGAGCATGTGCTTAGAATGTGAGAAGACCTGGGCTCTGCCTACGCAGGAAAGAAGTCAAAAAGGGAGGGATTGGGGTTTGTTGACTCTGGTGCATGTGAGGAAATAGGCATGTAACAAATATGAGCATCAATCCCAAGTTTAGAAGAGGTTTTGACAATTCTGCAGACAGGATAGTTTTTTTTTTTTTTTTTTTTTTTGTTTTTTGAGACAGGGTTTCTCTGTGTAGCTTTGCGCCTTTCCTGGAACTCACTTGGTAGCCCAGGCTGGCCTCGAACTCACAGAGATCCGCCTGGCTCTGCCTCCCGAGTGCTGGGATTAAAGGCGTGCGCCACCACCGCCCGGCGTTGACAGGATAGTTTTTAGTAAACTGTGTTATAGAGGTAAAGTCACCAAGCATAAAAATCTATTTATTGAAGTTACCCCACACATTGCGATCTAACATCTTGAAGGAAGTGAAAAGAAAAAAATGAGGATAGTTTAAGGTAAAAAGTTCCAACATAGCCAAGAATCTTTAATCACAAGATTTATAGAACAGACTGTCCCTTGGGTAAGTCTTTGAACATCTACCATGTTGAAAAGCACTTTTTAAAACAAGAAACTGTGAAAAAGGGCATTGAACTCTACTTTGCATTTGGTTTCTCTGAGATGAGACAAATGATGCCAGCACTTAGGCTGCAGGTTAATCAGAAACATTTCAGCTTTCAAAAAGGATTGCTTTGATGCCTTATATAGTGTTTTGCAGTCATTGATATAAGATTTGAAGGAGTTGTTACCCTGAAAAGAGTACAAATTGTTGCTATGCTCCAAAGACCTTAAGTGTCATGAGTCAGAAAAAGTTCAGAGTGGACTGCCTCATGCCAGTGTTCACTTGTGTCTGCAGCCTACCTTGCACACAATCTCTATACCACAAGAATTATCCCCGTGGCTCTGGGCGCCAATCTTCTCAACTCTGCTGATCACTCCAAGGGGAACATCGAGGATGAAATGGGGGTCCTATGTTTAAAAATTCAAGTCAATAAAACAGGGTTTTCATGTTTTACATTGCTCCAGAGTTATAACATATGATTGTTTACTTTGAAATGCAGTTATCTTTGACCCAGATAAGAAGCTGACTTCTGAGAGATAGTATAACTTAGGAGGTCTATACCCAGACCACAGTGCACTTCCCCTCCAAGTCTAAGTGCAACTTTAACAATTTTGATTGAGACCAAATGTCTGTTCAAATTCACTGTCATGTAGTGTCCCTGTGATGGGAATTCAGGGGACTGCTTACTTTCTTCTTTTACTGTTCACTAGATTTTAAAACCAAAGCATAATTTTAAAAACTTACTCTTTCTACATTTTTGAAGTACATTTTAAAGTCGGTCACTGTCAGGGTTCCACTCACTGCTCCCATAAATGGGCAGATATACATGACATCTTTCACTAAAAGAAGAAAACCAAAATGGCAATGACTCTTATAGACTTTTATTACAGTAACTTCCAGTATGAGTTTCCAAATACACACACACACACACACACACACACACACACACACACACACACACACACACATATATACACACACGATCCAGTCTTGTAGGAACTTAAAACTTTAAAGAATTATAACAGTTATTATTTTACATAATGACACAGACAGATAGTTCTCTGATATAGTTCAACAAAACTCTGATTTGATATTTAATGAGGCTTTAAGTAAAAAAAAAAACTTATAGTATGTTTATTTTTTCTTTTTTCCAGGTAGTTAATATTTTCCCTAGTTAAAAGTTGATAATGCTCAAAATATCAATTATACTCTGAAGACACTGGGCTCTTACTCTGTAAATTGCTGAAACCTAAAACTAGTAAAAGCTAAGCACTGTTTCTTTGAAGAGAAACTGCCTTACAGCTGAAGAAAACTTGCAGATCATCAATGAAGTAAATAAAGACTTCTTTCTTGGGCTGAGAGTATAGCTCAGTGCCTGATGCCCTAGGCTGGTTACCTGCCAGGAGGGCTGTTTAAATTTTCTTATCAGCCAGGCGTGGTAGTGCACACCTTTAATCTTTAGTAGTACTTGCACAGGCAGGAAGATCTCTGTGAGTTTCAGCCATCCTGATCTACATAGTGAGTTCCAGGACAGCCATAGTGAGACCATCTAAAAACAAAATTTCTGTATCAAAGTTAAGTTTCTGTTATCAATCAAATGTGCACAGCATACTTAATTCCTATGTCTGTTAAAAGGCTTGCCTCTATCATAAAGATTGTGCATCTTTATGGATTTCCACTGCAATGTTTGAGTGACCAGAACATATATAGCTACAGACATAATTTATAATAGTAGGATGATTCAAACCAACTGTCAAAGAACTTTCCTTATTTTTTATATAATTTAATATGTACTGAATGTCTTCTGTTGCTGGGGTTCTGGGTATAATATAATTAGACAGGTCCCTATTGACAAACAGCAGTGGACCTGTGAGATTAGAAACAGAAAATCACCATTATACTGTAGCATGAGAAATGCTAATATAATGATGTGGACACAGAGTGATGGACCTTAATTAAGAATCACCTTCACTCATCATGGAAACAGGGAAGGAGAAGAAAAGGAGGGAGGAGAGATTGACAAATTGTTAGAAGTTTGTTACTATGGCTGAATCAGAGAGTGCACAGAGAGGTGGAGGATCATGAAGCCAGCCAGATACGTTAGCAGGGAAATGTACTAATAAATGAATCTGTTGAATGTCAAGGCATCATTTAGCATGCTATACTTAAAAGATAAAAATAAAAGCAATACCCTGTGGGATTTGTAGCATATGTACAAGTAAAATGGATGATAAAAATAACAAAGGCTGGAGGAGACACATGAGAGTATGCACTTGTACAGTTCTTACCCTACACATAAAGAAGTGCAGAACTGTGCAGGGTGTGGTGTGATAGCACACACAGCCAAGCAGACACAGGTGGGTTTCTGTGAGTTCAAGGCCAGCCTAGTCAAAATAGAAAGTTCTAAGCCAGCCAGGACTACATAGTGAGACCCTGTCTCCAAAAAAAAAAAAAAAAAAAAACGGGGGTGAGTGGAGACGGTGGTGGCACATGCCTGGGACTCAAAGCTACACAGAGAAACCCTGTCTCGAAAAAAACCAAAAAAAAAAAAAAAAAAAAAAAAAAAAAAAAAAAGCACAAAATGACTTGAAAATGAAACACATAAATCATGTAAAGTAACTAATAAAATAACAAAAAGAACTGTAGCAACTATACAGGCAGAGGAGATAAAATGCATTCTGAGAAAGTACTCAATTAATTAACAAGGATAGAGCTCAGTGGCAGGGTGCTTGCCTGACAAGCATTTAGGCTCTCAGGTCAGTCCTCAGCACTGTAACAAAGAAAGAAAGAAAAAAGAGTACTCAATTAAATCAAAACATGACCAAAAAGACAAAGAAGACAGCAAGAACTAAATGAGACAAAAGAAAACAAATAATATGATGAATTTAAAATTCATTATATTAATATAATATGTTAATGACCCCAACATCTCAAATGCAAAGCACAGACAGTCATATCATGGACAAAAACAAGATCTTAACTATATGTGGCTCAAAATAACATGCTTTACATGAAAAATGAAAGACTAAAGAAAATATGGTACATACACACAATGGAACTCTAATATAAATAAGATAAAAATCATATTTACAGGAAAATGAATGCAAATGGAGTGTGGTAAGCAAAATAAGCCAAATTCAGAAATAAAAATATTGCATGCTTCCTATCATATGCAGATCCTAAATTTTAATATGTGTGTGTGGTGTGTGTGTGTGTGTGTGTGTGTGTGTGTGTATGTGTGTATGTGTGTACTCAAGTGTGTATGTGGACATGGCTATGGATATAGACCATGAAACTAGATGGGAAAATAAAAGTGTGGAAAGAGATATTGGTAGTTGAGAAGGGCTAAAGAGGGCAAGAATATATGTGACATGAAAGCAGAATGGGGCCTATTGTCGGTAGGAATGACACCAACAGGAGTGGGACTGGGGAATGGTAGAGAAGTGTGGGAAAAACAATCAATAACAACAAAGCATGGGGCTATAACTCTATTGGTAGAATGCTTGTCTAACCTGGATAAAGCCCTAGATTTGATCTCTATTACTGTAAAAACCAGGTGTGGTGGTGTACACCTGGATTCCCAAAACTCAAGAGGTTGAGGTCGAAGAATTAGGAGTTCAAGACCAGTTTTATTTACATAGTGAGTTTGAGTCTGGCCTAGGCTACATAAGACTCTGTCTCAGAAAACTAAATATGTATGAAAACACCATAATATAACCTATTATTCTGTATGATAATGTACAAAGCTAAAAGAAGACATGAATATTTGGAAACTGAAAAAAGGTATATCAAGTTAATGTGAATTTAGAAAAAGCTACAATATCTACAATAATATGAAACAATGAAGTTTTTTGGAGCAAAGAGTATTACCAGGAATAAAGAAGGTAATTTTCTACTAACCGCAGGGTCAACTCATCAGAAGGACATAATAACATAAACATTTATGTACCTAGAACTGTAGTGGGTAGCCATTCCAGCTTTGATCTGGAAGTTCCAACCCCCATTGAGGCTTCGGTAACTGTCACACCTTCAGGGTCCTCCAAGAGAGGACCCTGAAGACCCGAGATCCGGATGCGCCAGCTCTCTTGGTTCCTGGACCCTGGACACTGGAGGTAGACTGAACAGAGTTCTCCAGAGAACACCGCTGGACTGCACTACACCTTTCCCAGAGTCTGTAAGTTCATTCATTTGTAAGTTACCCCACAAAATAAACCTCCCTTTTAACTACGTGGAGTGGTCTTAATAATTCCACCAATATCTGGTGCCCAACATGGGGCACGACCCCATGACCCTGAGATTATGAGTCTCATGCTCTACCTACTGAGCTAGACAGACAAAACTCCTGAACTAAACCAACTGGTTTATTTCAAAGATGTACTGACCTCAACATGGAAACCTGGATATGTTCTACTTTGGGGAAGGGGTTTTGTCTTTATTTCTGCAGGAGAAGAAAAGCTATGGATACCAACAAAATTAATAAAAATTCGATTTGAACAGGAGAAACCCCTTGATGAGGAGAAGTAAAAGATCACCCACCAATGTGACATCTCTTCAAGTTGTAAGAAAAATTTAATAATCAAAGGTTGGGGTAGGGTTCTGTTTTTGTCTTTCCAGGATAATGGAAATACCCATCTTCCAGAAATCATAAGGCCTTGGATATCTGGATATTTACAACAGAAAGAAAGAATCTATTGGTACCAATCTACACAGGGTAAAAATCTCACTGTCTAACATCTATATCTCTATCAATATAGAAAAGATGTGGTTCCAATTCAATTATAAACCAAGCTGGCTTTGGAGATGGAATTGGCTCACTCCTTCTCTAAACCCAAGCATATTGCTAAAAGAAAAGGTTGAGAGATTCTTCAGTCCCATATCAGAAGAGCCCTCTGGTGTGGGACAGAAGGAAACCAATAAAAGGAACCATTGTCTTCAAGATTCTAATTCTCTCCATGCTTACTCTTGATTTCTCGGAATCCTTTCTTACATGCTATGTCCTCTTTAGATCCAAACTTTCTATTTTGATAAAAAATAAGTTTTTCTAATAACAATCTCTAAAGTCTCCAAAAGGAAGATGGGGCCGCAACAACAACTCTACCCAATCCAGAATGATGCCATGGTAATCATCATCATACTACACTTTTTGCGAGAATTTCAGACAATCTTACCCATTACTCTAAGGCTTGCTGTGGAATCTACAGTTAGTCTAACTGAGATTTAACTATCTGAGCTTTCTCACAGTACCCAACAGAGATACCATCACCCCCTAAACAGCAGGAAGCAATTCTACAAAAATGATGCCTCTTCTCCCTAAGGTTTCAGATTTTTCAGTGTTATGGATTGTGGTTATAGGGTTGGGGGTGGAAAAAAATATTAAACTCAGTATTCTCCTTAAGAAAAAAAAGTGTCTCCAAAAAAAAAAAAGAAAAGAAAAAAGAAGAAATGGATAGGTATAAGATATTATGGTAGATTATTGTGTATACTAGTAAACAAATTTAGTAAAATAGCAGCCTTACATAATTTGCACTGTTATGGATTCTTATATGTTGATACAAATGTAAACTATTTTTATGTTCCTGTTTAAGATAATTTGTATATTGATATAAATACAGAACTATATTTGTTATAATATACATATATTTGTATATTGATACAAATGTAAATTTATATCTGTCATACTGTATGTATATTCTACTTCTGTTTAAGATATTCTGTATAAGGATATATTTAAGATTATTGTCATATTGCATATTGCACTATATATTCCTACCTCTGTTATAAATATCTTGTGTATTGTCACAATTTTGAAGTCATCGTCCTTTACTGTACATTTGCTTATAGACTGTTTACCTTGTTTACATGAAGCCTTAGTCCTTAGGTTATTTTGGTAGATAAGACTTAATAGATTTATAGTCACCTATGCTTGTCATCTCTATAGTTACATTAGTTAGGTTATCCAGATATACAGATACATAGGTTGGATGGTCAGATAATCTTCAAACACTTCATAGACCTAGAGAATATGGCATTTAAATAACTTAGAATTCTGTTGACGTGAGACACAATTGCTCCTGGCAGCACCAATTTGATCTGAGAGAATGTTGGGCTTCTAAGACATTTCCATTTGGAAGTTTGTCTTCTTGGCACAAAATGGCCTACTGGGCAAAGAACTGCCCTTGCCTCAACTGCTGACAAAACGAGTGCTGTCCTTCTGGACAAGCGGGACACAAGGGAAAATGACTTCTGAATTCTGGCAAGACAGGGTAAAATGGTCTATCAGAATTCCTGCTTCTGAAAACGGTCTGCCAGATACTCTAGACCTGTAGCCAATTTGAATGCACCAACAATGCTGAGAAACAGGCTGCCAGCTGTCTTGGTCTACTCTTACAAGATTCCTGAAAGTTGCTTGCATCCATCTATCATTTCTCAGGTACCATTACATTCCTTCTCAGGAATGTAATAACTAACAGTTATAGTTATAACTTAGTATATCTTAGATAGAACATATTAAGTATTCGATTCAGGTTCTTTGGGATAGGACACCTTTTAGAATGATCTTTGTAACATGCAATTTACCTACACTCTAGACTTCTCTAGATTTTAGTATGTGTTTCTTGCTTGATATTGTTCGCACTGGTTGCAGTTCCATCTTATCTACGTCATTATCCTTCATTATTCATGGATAATATTTGATAACCATTCCTTTGTATATAGTCTTGCTTTAGGTTGGAACCTTCTTATTTAGAGAAAAGGGGGAGATGTAGTGGGTAGCCAGAAGGACATAATAACATAAACATTTATGTACCTAGAACTGTAGTGGGTAGCCATTCCAGCTTTGATCTGGATGTTCCAACCCCCATTGAGGCTTTGGTAACTGTCACACCTACAAGGCAGGGCCAAGAGAGGACCCTGAAGACCCAAGATCCGGATGCGCCAGCTCTCTTGGTTCCTGGACCCTGGACACTGGAGGTAGACTGAACAGAGTTCTCCAGAGAACACTGCTGGACTGCACTATGCCTTTCCCAGACTCTGTAAACTATCCATTCACTTGTAAGTTACCCCACAAAATAAACCTCCCTTTTAACTATGTGGAGTGGCCTTAATAATTTCACCAATATAGAACTTCAAAACAGAGAAGTAAAAGTGATTGCTCTGCATTGAGACACAGATATTCACAATAAAAGAGATAAGTGCAGGCTGAGTAAACACACAGAAGGTCAAATGACACCAACAAATTCAACCTAATTGACATCTATAGTACACTCCAATCAATAACAGCACAACATATGTTCAACAATATAGAGAACACTCAAAAGACCATTTTTAGGGCCGGAATACAACTCTTGAAATATATTCAAATCATAATATTTATGTTTCCTGAACAGAAATGGAATGAACTTAGAAATCAACAACAGAACAGTGTTCCAAAAATTCATAAATATGCAGAAATTAAACAACACTTTCATTTTGTTGTTGTTGGTGGTGCTTTGTGTTTGTTTGTTTGTTTTTCAGACAGGATATCATCTAGCATGTGCTGACCTCACACTATGTAATTGCAGAAGAATTTGGACTCTTGATCCTTCTGCCTCTATGCCCAAATGCTGGAATAAACAACATACTCTTAAGTAATCCAAGAGTCAAAGAAAAAATCGAAAGCATTGGATCTCATGAAAATGAAAATAAAAATCATAATTGATGAGGTGGAAAGCAGTGATTAGAGAAAAATCCAAACACCCAAACTAGAAGAAAGCAAAGCTCTCCAAACAATGACAACAGTTGCCCACTTATGCAAAGAAGGAAAAAAGAGAGAATGGAACATGAAGGAAGCAGATGAAAGGAAGCAATAATGATTAGAGTATAAATAAATGAAATAGAAAACAAACAATAATGAAACCAAAAGCTAATTCTTTGAGAATTACCAACACAATTGGTAAACACCCCGCCCCCAGCCAATTGTAGGACAGGTGTAAGGACAATATTACCACCAACTGTACAGATACTAAGAAAGTGTAGTAAGTAACATTTTGACAATGATTTCACAGCTACCATTAAATGGGAGAATTCTGGAAAGATGTAAACTATCAATGCAAAAGCAGCAGAAAAACCCAAATAGCCACCAACACATGAATGCACCTTTATAATGAAGTAGTATTCAGCAATAAAAAAGGAATGATTGTTAACTGATGTCACAATGTGGTTGAAGATCGAAACAATTATTTGATTGAAGAAAGTCAAACAACAACAACAAAAAAAAACCCCTACAATTTCACTTATGGAAAGTACTAGAAAATATAAACTAGTCTACAGTTTTGGGGGATAGAGGAATGGACAGAAGAGATGAAAAGCGAATGACATAAGAAAACTACTGTTGGGGGTGGATATATCCCTTACCATAAGAGTGACAATGGCTTCCCAAGTGCATACTATGTCAAAACTCATCCTGTTCTAAAATAATACTCAATAGGGAGTATTTTACTTTAATACTTTGCCTCCAGGAACATATTTGATTTAATAATAAGGCTTAATTTATTTACCCTCTGCAAGCCACTGGAGGAATTTAAAGCATAACTTAAGGATGTGCAGCTGTCCCTAACATGTACCTGTAAGATATTTCTAATAACTGAGAGAGGTGTAGGGCTCCATTTCCAGAGTAAAAAAAGAGATACAAACAGGAGGTAATCAGGCTCTGGTAAGACAGCCCAACCATTTAAACAGTCCAATATGAGACTGAATGCCCTTGTTGGGAGAGAGCAATGACAGAATAAGCAAATAGTCCAGCAAAGTCCACTTTCCAACCCAGCCAACTGAGATGTATCCAGATGCCCCTCCTACACACCATCTCTTGAGATGCATGGCAATTTATCATGGGAGGTATTGTAACTCTCATGTCATTTCCTTTATAAGCTAGGATAGCAGTACATGCCATTTTCTTCCAATAAAATTATACTTTCAATAATCACAGAAGCCAAAAAAATTATTTGTGAAGATTTCAAAACTATTACTAAGATATGCTATTGAGATCTTCTACTGACAAATTACTTTATGGTGAAAGAGTCAATCAAAGCAGCAAGCCAGCATTACACTGGGTGCCTAATCAGCTCTCATTTCATGGAAACAGGCAGGCTTCTCTTCTTCTGGTAAACACTCAGCTGCCATTTACCTGGATCCTCTATATTATTCTATCTCTTATGGTCAGACTGATGCCAATAAGAATGAAGAGACCTAGTCCCCTACTCCCTTTCCCCCTAATTAAATCAGTCTAGCCTAATATAAATATCACTTATGCTTTCAAAGTACCACTTCATTTTATAGATTCCTATAAGCAAACCATATACATTAAACTTACCAATGGCCTTAATTGATTCTCCTGGAAAAAGTGGAGCTTCTTCCATCTGTGCCAGTTTATTTCCATCTCTTAGAGCCTGGCAAGAAACCAAACAGGAATAAATCTAACTTTTCATCTGTATATTGAGAAGAATGCTGGAATTCTGGGATCTCTTGATAAGGCTATAGAAGCATGCACAAATGTATGTCCCCTCTGCTTTAAACATTTTAAAAGCTCAGCACTACAGGACATCATGCTGCATATTCTAGCAAATTGTTACAACATATTTACAATTAACAGTTAGAAAGCATTAATACAGAAATGGCTTGACGGGACAGATAGATACTGCAATCACTACACAGATAGCTATTGTAAGGTGACATCAAATTTGGAAATAAGGTCAGAAAAAATGTTATCTTCTGACCATGAAACTAACACCAATAAAAACACTAGAGGTGAGGTACTTAGCAAAAGTAGAAATTATCCAGCCTATGAAACAGTTTGAGAAACCCAAAGGCAGAATAAAATAATCAGAGAATGGTCTCAGAGCAGTGCACAACTAAGGAAAGCCCTCAGCTTCCTCACTGAGGTTCAACTACTTGCAAGCATGTACATGTGTATATATGTGTGTGTGTATGTGTGTGTGTGTGTGTGTGTGTGTGAGAGAGAGAGAGAGAGAGAGAGAGAGAGAGAGAGAGAGAGAGAGAGAGAGAGAGAGAGAGAGAGAGTGTGTCAGGGAGCATAAAGAATGGGAATGTCACTGTTTATTTACTCTAGGCTATGAGATTACATTGGCAGATAAGAATACAAATTGAAAATCTGTAATGTGAATATGCCAAATAGTAAATGCTCCAAAATATAAAACCTTTTAATAGCCAAAATAATGCCATAAGTAGAAAAATCCCACATCAGAACTTTTGTGAAAGGTTGCAATCAAAACATACATATACTAAAAAGTATTGTAAAAATTTTCCTTCAGTCTATGTGTGTAAGATGTAGTAGACACACAAAATTTGTGTTTAGATTTGGGTCTCATCTAATACTCCAAAATAGGAAAAATTCCAAAATTTGAAACACTTGTCCCAAACATTTGAGATAAAGAATACTCAAACTGTATTGCAGTATATACTGTAGGACAGGGTGTGTTTATCACACATTTCCCAAGGCCAATTCATTTTTAAAACTAATTTCACATTCTTCAAGAAAACTGCTAATGAGTTACAAGGTTCATTGGCTACAGTGATGCTCAAAGAAGGATAACTGTGTAGTTCATGCCCATATTTCTACTATCAGGCTGACATTGTGACTTGGGAGTCAGCTTCTTGTACCTTCATTGTATGGTGCCAGACAACTCAGGGGAGCAGAAAATGGAGTTCTTGAACTACAAAGCTAGAACTGGAGCCTAAACTTGGGGCTCATTCCAAGGTACTGCCACCCTGTGAGTTGCTACCAAGGAAACCAATCATTTTCTCCTTGGCATATCTGACACAATGTGTCATGAATAAGAATAAGGTAATTAAAACCCTAGCAATTACCAAGCTGTATTTCATTGAACATTAATTTCCCAAAGGATGTAAACAGGTTTAAAAAAAACAAAAAACAAACAAACAAAACAGGGAAATGCTGTGTTAAGCAAGGCTTTTGAAAAAAGGGAGCTAGGCTTTAGTGTGTTAATGAACACCAAATCAGCAAGAGGGCGCAAGAGTACAACACATGCCTCATATCTCCTCAATCAGGGAGGGCTTTTTCAGAAATAACTTGTTAACACTTGTGAGGGTATTATCATGCATCAGAAAACAGGGTGGGCAATGCTGATCAAGGACATGGTGTGAAGTCTCTTCCACGCAGAGGGCAGAAGATTACATGGTCCATCCTTTCCTTATCAAAAAGTGTACTGTTAAAATCTTATATACATTAAGGTTCATCATTACATTCGAACAATGTATTGAACTAGAATTTTTAGTACAGATTGGTTAAGGCATTTTTCAGCCAAAAATTTCTGTAAAATTTTGATTTTATAGTGATATAGATCAAACTTAGGATACTGTATATGCTAAGCAGGTATTCTATCACTAAATCACACTCCCATCTTAACATTACTTTTAAGACTTTCATATAAACTTGACTTTCCTTTTCCACTTAATAATCACTGTAAACATTTCATTATACTTATTTTGGTCCCTGAGTATCAAAAAAGGCCTTAAGTGTGCTCAGCAACTGATCTGTGCCTTCAGCCTCATTTATATATTCATTTTTACTTATATCTGATTTGGGAATATGCCTTTTGTAAAACAAAGCATAAACCAATATTTATACCTTTAAACATCTGGTTTTATAAATACTTAAATACCAACAATCTTAATAGAAGCATTAATTTGAAGGTGTGCTTAATTTACTATCTTAAGTACTGACTAATTTTATGGCATAATTACCAAGTGAAAAAGCTACTTTAATCAATGTCAGAGCTGTAAATTACTTCAAATGTTACATTGTTAAAGCTTACTTTAATGGGCAAATATTATACTATAAAACTGAGATTCTATCATTTATATTTAAAAATAACTGAGGATAAATTATTTTGGAATCTATTTATGAAAGCAAGCTTCTCTAAACACTAGAATCTAGAGGGGATTTTGGAAGAGAAGACGCCCATTTTGCTTTAGAATAAGCCACATCAAATATTTTCAAAACTTCAAGGCTGGGATAGTCAATGAAATCCTGTCAGAATGCACAAGGCTCTCAGGATAAAGAGTAAGGAACAACTGGTTCTCTTCTTGTCCCATATTCATAGTCAAATATGACTGGAAACATCTGTGCATTTTTGTGAGGCATGAATGTGTTGGTGAACACAGTGAAATAAAACTTGCACTAATGGTCATTAAATATTGGGACATGTTTTTAAATGATGAAAAAGCATCTATTAGAATAACACAAAGAAATGGCCCCAAAGCTTCAGATTCTTCCATAAGAGAAAGGAATACATTTAGCTTTAACATAGGAAGTCAAGAGACAATAGCAGGCTCATTTTTGGTGAGTATAGTAGATTCCCTTTATGAAGCTGTGTTAGGAGATGAGACTCACATTTGTGCTATATTAAGCTTTTACTGCAACTATCAGGTTGCACAGGGCATGATCTGACCCTTGATTTATCGAACCTATATTCAGATGTTCAGCACAACTGAAAGATGAAATAATTTGAACTCATAAACACACTCATTGCTCTTGGTGCCAGATGTTGCTCAGCTGAGCAATTCCCTAGGAGCTCATCTCAACCTTGGTGCTTTGATCCTGAATGTCTAATTGAAATCTACAACCTCCTGACTTTGTCCCTAAAGGATCCAATCTACCCAGATGACTCTGGCCTCTTCACTGTTTTTCATGAGTGTGACTCTAAACTACTAAGTGGACAGATTATATAACCAGCTACATGCCCAAAGCAGTGATTTTCTAATTGTGTCCTAAAAGATGCTTCTGGAGTTAATGAAGGAGGATGGTTCTGGGCAGGTGATGGAGGACAAAAGCAAGGCTGAGCACTTGGGGCTTGCCAAGCATCCCCAGCACTGCTCTTCTACACAATTCCATTAAGTTTCTATATCAGTAGCAGGAAAACACTACTGCTTCATGAATCTGAAGAACTAGTGGAAGTATGAAGGAAACAGTAGGATTCTGTAATCTGATTAATAAAAACAAAATACATATGCTCAGTCCACAAATACAAAATACAAGGTGCTATGTTAGACGTGAATTATGTAACTTTAAATTTTATTTTATGTATATGTGTGTTCTGCCTATATGTGTACCACATGGCCAGAGGAGGACATTGGATCACCTAGAACTGGAGCTATAGATACTTGTGAGCTGTCATGTGGGTGCAGGGAATTGGAAGAGTAGCCAGTGCTTTTAACCTCAAGCCCCACTATGCAAATTTGAATAACAAAAAGTCCACATCCTTATAAAGAACCTGTGGCATTTGTGTTTACCCCTCTAGGTCCTTGCTAAAAGCACTTACACTTACAGTGGTGGCAGTCATCTAGCCCTATCTTGGGAAATCAAGAAATGTGAATGAACCAATTTCTAGTTGACAAAATGTTGTATAAACCAACTTTTGCAAATAATGTCATAATAGAATCTACCAAATATAGACAGGAGAGCACCATTATAGTGGTAAAAGTAACTGGAAAGCTTTGCTTATTGCCTAGATATGTAGTATGAAATGGCTTCTAGATACACAGATGAACATGTAGAACTTGCCACCTGATCAGCTTCAGCTTCAGAAGGGTAGCCATTGTGTTCTTCCTCTATCTCCTGCACAGCACCAGGTGCATGGACAAGAAAAGGCAGAGAAGAGAAAGAGAAACACGTGCAAACAGACAGGTGAAAGGACAGAATTTCTTTTTTAAGAGACAGTAACCATGTAAAAGTTGACACACCCTTTATGGCTTTGCAAATCACCACACTTGCCCCCCTTGAGTTAAGAAAAAATGTGTGGACCATCTGTAGCATCCTCAGCCTAAAGTGTAGTATCTATTTTCTGTGTTTGTGTTAGAGTAAAAAAATAAAAAGCAACAAAACATCATGGATTTCAAACAATGCACTGCCTTTATAAAACTAAGCAACATCATAGCAAATAGCAAAGAATATAACAGGCACATCATGTGTTCATAGAAAATAAAGCACACCACAGAAACCATATAAAGGGCAAAGTCAAGTCAAAATACAAAGGCAGTTCATACATAAGTATTTTAGACAGAGTAAGTATTTGCATATTCTAAAGGTGTAATGTATTATCCAGGGGTAAATTTCATTGCACCCGTGCACATAACACATGCTCAAGATTTTATATATAATATACAAATATACATATGTGTATTAGTTTATTACTTATTACTAATTAAATACTGTGACTTATAATCAATATCACATTAATATTTCTAACTACAGTATCAAAAGTATGCTTAAAAACTTAAATGCCACATATTCTTACATATTCTTCATTATATTCTGTCTGTTTAAAGGTATGCTTTTCTTAATTTCTTCATAAAATCAATTCTCTTTTGAAAGTTTAAAAACTGTACTATTAACTCAACAGGTGGTAGAAAGAACATGATTGTTTAACATGAAAGGATTCTAATCCTCTTTTAAAGTGGTATCAAATATCTAATAGTGAAAATATTAAAATTTAATAGTTTTATTTTATGAAACTGGTTCAAATGGTTATATTTTTAAGGCAACAGAAGTATCAAATTTTGAAATAATTTATTACTTCACACATTTACAATTTAGTCGATAAATTTCAGTAATTACAGAACACATTTTTATATTCAGAACGAATTTATAGCTACTTATCATGGCAGTGTAGATTTTAAATGTAGCCTGTTTTGTTGAAATATCTAAATTTTTACATACAAAGACAACGGAATAATTCTGTGATTTTTTTTAATGTTAAAAAAGAAAAATTAATGGTTATTCAAAAAATTCATACAGTATTTCAAAGTCCATGCAAATACAAAACCAAACACTAATATTTAACTGTGTGAATCAATGAAAGAAAAGGAGTCTCACAAGCCAAAGAAAATAAGGTAAGATGGTAAATCAACTAGTATAGTAAGAATTTTACTTAACCTGGTTATTTCTGTACAACTTCACTGGCTTCAGTAAGATTACAAATTTCAAATTGAAGTAATTGAATCATACTATGAGAATCCAGATTGTTTTCCATTTAATGAAAATAGGTTAATTTTTCATGGCTGACACTAGGCATTAAATGCATGCAAATTACCAATCTTTGTCTTGCTTTATGAATATTCTGAAATAGAGGGAAGGAAAATCATGAGAGAAACATAAGCTACATTTCAGTATATCTGTATTTTTAAAATATACTGATATTTGTAAATCTTGCTTCAAGATTAATATTTAAACTTTTTTTTGATTGAACATGCAAACATAAGCATGACTTAAAATCTTAGATTGGATGGACAACAAGTGATCACTTTTTTGTTTGCTAAGTTCTTTAGCATGAATCACACAACAAGTGCAGAGTGTGTGTGTGTGTGTGTGTGTGTGTGTGTGTGTGTGTGTGTGTGTGTGTGTAAAACAATAATAATCAAAGAAAAAGAGTTTCTATCAACTCCAAAAGAGTGGGCAGACATAGGAGAAGTTCAAAGGATGATAGTTGTAAAGGGATGGAGGAAGGAAAGTGACATATTCTGTTTCAATTAAAAGTATATTGTTTTAAAAGAGGCCCACATAGACCTAGACATATAACACCAGCCATGATCATCCATTGGGTCAGAATTCATGTGGTATGAAGAAAGCCAGTACAGCAAACTGGTAACAACTTTTGCATCCTGCCTTCACACACATAGGCTTTTATTGCACATTTAAAAAACTGTAGCAAACAAAGCATTTCCAGTGAACATTTAAAGCTATGACACAGCAGAGCAAATTGATCAGAGTGACTCATAAAAACCAGTGAGAAGGTAAAGAACACTAAACAGACCAAGTGTTCCATAAAGCACAGACAATAAGTAGGAGGCCCATCTGCCAAAAGCCAAATATCCTTACCCTGGTATCAGGCCGCCTGAAAACCTGTTAGTTAAAATAGAGAACATCATCATCATGGAAATGTTCTTATTGACCTGTGAAAGATGCCGTTAGATTCAACAGCCTAGTCTCTAAGACATATTTTAATCTTCTATAACATATTTACTCTCAAAGTTTCATTCAATAGTAAATCAATCCTAAAACATTTGTCCTGGGATTTTCAGGGAAGTGTCTGATTTGGAGAAATGTATCTCCCCCACTGTTTTAAACAGAAATCTTTTCCAGCAAGTGTTTTCACAGGTTATTGTGAACAGGCTGCATTCCTAACAGTGAGATAATCACACACCTTAATCTGATTTCTATTTAAATTTCAAATTTTGACTGGGACTCCAGGATTCAACTCTCTGATTTGGTTACCCCACTAGAAGCAGGGGTGCCCTCTCTGATGGACATGGCAGCAAAGAGGAAGTTCAAGGGAGGAAGAGGTAGTGTCTGTCCCTGAAACAGAGGTGAAATCCTGCTTTATTTAACTGACACTGACTTCGGCATTATTACTCCTGTGCCTGTGGCCTGTGAATCCTAACGAAACATGCACCCTGTGTGTGGGAAAGCTCTAGCCAAAAGAAACAACACACATGTACAGAACCTTAGAAAAACAAACAGTTGTAATGGTCTTCAGTAGTAGTTTAATGTTTCTGTTCCCTGTTGCAAAGTCTCCAGTGCTAGTGTCTAACCACTAGATGTTGAATGAGAAACATGTCATCTAAAAGAACAATTGTCAGATTATTAGCTTTATGGATTTACTAAAGAGAGAGAACACCTGAATGGGAACACAGGCTACAGAAGCAATTCCCATGTCAACACCACACAACTCTGGCTGTAAAACATAAAAAATCATTCTCAAACTCTCAGAAAACTTCCTTCATTAGTGCCAGAAGGTACTATGCAGGCTGATGATGTGGGGAGAAAAGACATCAAATTTCCCAGTGCTGGACCCAGCATACTAAAGTATCAAATTACTAAAAAAGATATGCTCACTAGTGCAATAGTGGCATGACTGTTATAGAGTAACTGAATGTTTTCTGATTAGATTTGAGGTCTGCTCCACAGGAGGGAATTTCATTCCTGGTTCTAGAATCCTAGTCAAAATTCCATGGCTGGTAAGTTTATAGGCCCTAATGTAGAACTTGCTATTATTCTTTTCCTAAGTGGTCATGCTAACAAATTGCCTTCTAAGTATTTATATTTATACCCATAGACCTATTCTGCTCTCAACCTTAGAGAAGCTTCTGTTTGCAGTGAACAATAGCCAATAGAAAGATATGTAACCGATCAAAGTGCTGAGAATAAGATACTGAGTGCTTGGCCCTGAATAGGACATCTATTTCTACCATACCCCTTTCTGCCACCAAGGCTCAGAGAACACTGTGAGGAGGAGGTGGAAAGAATGTAAGAGGTTGAGAGGGTGAAAAGCGTGCTGTTAAATGCTGTGTTCTGAACATGACATGGCTATCACAGTTACCTGCACATGACTTATACAAGGTAAAGCCAACTAAAATACTGCCATGGATGTGGCAAATGATCTCCAGGCCCCACACTAAACTGGCAGAGAGATTAACAGTAGATAGTTGCTGAGGGAGGGAGAACCATTTTTCACTAAGGATATTTCCACTGTAAGTATTCTATGCTCCAGTGGATGACCCCACAACCATGTATCTATGAGCACCTTTGCTCATACATAGTAAGTTATCAAAAAAAAAAAAAAGACATGTGGTTGGGAGTACATGGGGGAGAGCTGGAGAAGGGAGATAGAAACAGATGTGAACATAAGCCATTTTATACATTGGAATTCTCAAAAACAAAGAAAAAATTAACAAGAAAGAAAAATTTTGCAGTTATAAAGGTGTTCTAAATTAACTGATGAAATTCTTCAAAATGAATTAAAGCCCCTAAGTTCCTAAGCAGAGACTTTTGGGGATAAGAAGCTTAAAAGCAATCTGGCTTTTGAAGGGATGCATTCAAATATCAAAATTTATTACGTTAAATACTTTAAATATGTAAAGTTTATTGCTTCTTAACTTTACCTCAACAAAGTTGGCAGAAAGTAAATAAAAGGAATATGAGGCTTTTGGTAATAAAAGCCTCAAAACTGAAAGGCTCCCCACCTAGAGCTTCATTCTGGACTACCCCACTTGACTAGGCATATTTCTAATTCTTCTAACCATTATCTCCATCACTATCACTGACTTTGGCTTACTTCCTGATACAGCACTTTAAAACAATGTTTATTGATCTCTCCTTTCAGATGAGAAAATAAACTTTCTCAAGCTACTACCTCCCTCTTCCCAGTCTCTGTGGGTCTAAAATTCATGTTTATTTCTTCCAGTGTTTTCCTTCAGCATGAGTTCTGTCATAAAGACACTTGAGTCTTTTATGTTCAAGCCACTTCTCTGAACACCTGATACATATTGACTGTTTTTATTTTTAGGCTAGCTGAGATAGGAACTATTCCTTATCCCAGTTCTTTGATGAGAAAAGAAAGGCACAGTTAAGAAAACAGGCCAAAAAAATGTAAAAAGTCAATGAAGTGATTCCTAATGATATTCTGCTATACTTGTAGACTGGAGCCTAGCATCATTGTCATCTGAGAGGCTTGATCCAGAAACTGATGGGAGCAGATGCAGAGACCAACAGCCAAATATTAGGCAGAGCTTGGTGAACTATAGAGGGGAAGAAGTATTGTAGGAGCCAGTGGGGTCAAGGATACTATGAGAACATGGCCCACAGAATAAACTATGCAGGGTTCACAAAAGGCTCACAGAGACTGAAGCAACAATCAGGGATCCTGCGTGAGTCTGACCTAGGTCCTCTGCATATATGTTACAGTTGAGTAGCATGGTGTTTTTGTGGGACTCCTAACAGTGGGAGCAAGGGCTCTCTCTGACAGTTTTGTTGGCTTTGAGGAGTCTTTTCATCCTACTGGGCTGCTTCATCCAGCCTTAATATGGGGGGTTGTGCCTAGTCTTAGTATGACTAGTTATGCTGTATTTAGTTGATATCCCTGAGAGGCCTGCCCTTTTCTGAATGGAAACAGAGGAGGAGTGGTGTGGTGATATTTTATCTGTGTACCTAAATAAAGCTTATCTGGGGATCAGAGGAAAAATCCAGCCACTACATTAAACATAGATGTCAGGCACATGCATTTTACCCTTGCCCCTGAAAATATACAAAGAGGAGATTATATTAAATATTTAGGATATAAAATAGGTCTACAAAAACTTAGACCAAAAAAAGTGCAAAATAGGAGACATCAATTATGAACTCTTAATGACTTTGAAAATTATTTGGAGTCATTTCCCATCTACAGATTTTTGTTAGGGTAAGAAATTATGAATTGAGTAATTTGTTCAAAACCATAGAGTTACAGGGACTTAAATAGTCCAAGAGAATTATCAGTAGAAGCTGAGAGATAACGGGCTTTAGTGGAAAAGAAAATACAGGAGGCACATGTGGATCCAAAGCTTGATTGCATTTTATTTATTCTACCCCCTAAGCATTCTCCTACAGGAATTTTAATGTGAAGGGAAGATATTTTGTTGCAATGGATATTTATACCAAATAAACAGAGTAAAAAATTAAAAACTTATGCGGAAATGATTTCTGACTTGATTTTAAAAGGAAAATTGAGACTTCATCAATTAGCAGAAATAGACTCAGAAGAAATTGTCATACCTTTAAGTAAGAATGAAATTGACAAATTATGGGCAGAAAGTGAACCTTGGCAAAGAGCTTCAGTAATTTTTTTGGAGAGATTAACAGAAAATATCCCAAAAGTGATAGAATTGAACTTATAAAGAAAGCTGATTGGATCCTGCCTCTCATTGTATGGGAAACTGCAATATCTGGAACCCCTACATTTTATACAGATGCAAACAAACAAGGAAAGGCAGGTTACAAATCAGAAAATTTAAGTAAAGTGGTTCAAAGTCATTATAATTCAGTTCAAAAATCAGAACTGTATGCTATTTTGATGGTATTAATGAATTTTTTGGAACCTCTCAACATAATTACTGACTCTCAGTGTGCTGAAAGAGTGGTCTTACATATTGAGACTGCAGAATTTATTCCTGATGAGTCAGAATTAACTTTGTTATTTATTCAGTTACAAGATATAATCAGGAATATAAAGCATCCCTTATATATAACTCACATCTGATTCCATATGGGTCTGCCAGGACCTCTAGCACAAGGTAATGATGAGACAGATAAACTATTGATAGGAAATGTACTGGAGGCCTCAGAATTTCATTAAAAAGTCATGTCAATAGTAAAGGTTTAAAAAAAAGGATTTTTCCTTAACCTGTCAACAAGCCAAGGAAATTGTAAGCAAATGTCCTACTTGTTCTTTTTACAATCAGACTCCATTACCAGCCGGATGTAACCCAAAGGGCACTCAGAAGAATGAAATCTGCCAGATGGATGTGTTTTATTTTGCAGAATTTGAAAAAGTGAACTATGTATACCATAGGATATTCAGGATTTCAGTGGGCAACTGCTTTGAGTTCTGAAAAACCTGATTCTGTAATCACTCATTTGCTAGAAGTTATGGACATCATGGGTATACCTGCACAAATTAAAACTGACAATGATCCAGCATATGTCTCTGGTAAAATGAAACAGTTTTTTGCTTATTACAATATAAAGCATATTACAGGTAAACCTCATAATCTTACAGGCCAAGCAGTCATAGAAGGATCAAACAGAACTCCAAAGGATATGTTAAATAAACAGAAAGGGGTAACAATAATTCCCAGAAATAGATTACATAATGCTCTGTCAACTTTGAATTTTCTCAATGCTAATGAGAAAGGAACAACAGCTGCAGAGAGACATTGGATAATAGAAAAAAAACCCTACATAATTAAATCAGCCTATATACTTTAAAGATGTGCTGACCTCAGAATGAAACCAGGATGTGTGTTACATTGGGATAAGATTTGCTTTTGTTTCTACAGGAGAAAAAAAGCTATGGATACCATCAAAAT